AAATTTGTGTTCAGAGAGAGGTAATTCATAATTTTAAAAATCACATTTTGGTCACGTGACCATTTACGAACTTATTCATTTTAAGAAAATGGTTCGGGTTTGAAAAACCAAATCACCATTATTTTGTTTAAGATATGACCCACTAATCGTTTTTCGAAGGCAAAATCATATAACTTTCATTTTCATAAAAAACGATGTCACATGCCTCTTAGTGCAAATGGCCTATTTCTTTTACGGTTAACTCTTTTTTATCCTATTTACGGCTAACGGTTAAAATCCTTCAATTTTTACGGTTATCGACTAAATTTTTGGCCGTTTTACGCCTATCGGTTAACCCCATTGAGACCCTCTTATAAGATAAAAGCTAATTTAAAATAATGAGTTTTTAGCCGTGCCATAAAAGTTTTGAGACTGCGCAAAGCTCTCAAATCGTCTGGTTACTGCCGATTGCGAATCCCAGCTCCGTCCAATACCAAATTTCTCTCCAAGGGGAAGAAGGGGATGTTCGTCTTCGCTCTTAGAAGAGGAATCTGGGATTTTGGACTCACTCAGGGTATCAATAGGGCAAGAGAGGATAAGTTTGTCATCCTTGCTTGGGGTTGAGCGTAAAGAACAGTGTCACTTTTGAAAAAACGTCGTCATACTTTTGTTTTTTTTTTTCCCTCTGGGGGGCACAAGAAGGCCACGCCTAGATTAGTTTCTTTTAGGGGGTTAACTCTAAATTTCGGTCCACCATCCCAGCTGCTGTTATATAACAGCCAACCTGGGTGTACCGCTTACCATTTTGCATTTAATCTGAAAACTCAAATTTTGAACTTCAAATCAGAGCTAAAACCTGCATTTGGAAAAAGCTACTGGGGACACTCACGAGTAACGAGTCTGTCACGCAATCATGTCTAATCACACACAGCAAAGCGGGGTTTTTTTGTTTGTTGGTTGGTTGGTTGTTGTTGTTGTTGTTGTACTGTTGTTGTTGTTGTTGTTTAAAGCTTGAGTTTTTATGAAACATACGTACATGTCATCAAACTTTACGAAGAAGGCCACAAGTCTACATATCAGTTTTAATTGTAACTGTCCGTTTCGTTCCTCTTTTTGGCTCTCTCCAAGCTTAATTTTGCACAAAACTCGCGCGGAAACCCTTGCCACGCAGACAGAGGGGACAGGCGTATCTAATCTTATTTTCTATCTTAAGCAACAAGTGTAACCCTAGCCTGGTGTAGACTGCGATTAGTCCCTCCAGGGATAATACAGCGAGCAAAAGACGAGACTTTCGTAGATGAACGACGTGCTACGAAAGGCAGTTCGCCTGGACGCATAATGCGTCATATGCCCGTCTTTATACCAGAGACGTATAACCAGACGAACTACAAAATGTTTGCCCAAGTTCGTCAAGGACGGATAATGCCACGTTAGTATAAAAACTTAGTACAATAATTTGTTTTAAAAAATGGAAAAAAGAAATAAAGAAATTTAAAAATTAATGTTCAGCTGAGTTCTAGAGAAAATTAATTACAAAATGTTCAGATTTGTGGAAAAAATGAAGAGATCTAGAGAATGTTTTTTTTTTTTTTTTGACCACTCCTCTATTTATCGTTTATTAAACATGATTATTATTCATTCCAAATATTTCCCCGATTCTGATTGGCTAAAAGCACTCGCATAATTCACCATAACCAGCTACTGATGACCAAATTTGGAAGAATTTAGCGTTTAATGAACCGATGACGTCAAAAGTGCAGACTTCGTGCAGGTTAATGCACCGTTAACCGAGAAGACCTGGGGACGAGGTTAAGTTGTTTTGTTTGTGAAAACAAAATGGCGGACATTTCACTCGTTTCAATAGTAAGAACTAGGCGAAATAATAGCTAACAACACGGCAAGAAGAGCAAGAAGACGACTCGAAGGGCGACATCTGCTATTTGGAGTATATTTGCGGAGCTGAACAATCCCAAACGTGAACTATCGAAGATAAACTTAACATCGATGGAGGTAAGCATGTTTTAGCTATGTTTCTAAACTAGGAATTATTTTGAATGAATAATAAAACAATTATTGAATTCGGCTTTCGTATCATAAGAAGAACATATGGGGGTCTCGGAGGGCGTTATCCGCCTCGGCGATAACACCCTCCTCGATCTCCATAATTCTTCATAAGATACTCAGCCTCATTCATCACACTGTTAAGTAAACAATGCTAGCTAGGTAAGAACGTTCTCTCCGCGTCGGTGACACAAACACCCCATAAATCATCCTTTTCATACAGAACTGATTTAGTCTGCTACCGAACTTACAATGTCTGAAGGCAAAGTATTCCATTCATGCATAATAATGGATCTAGGGAAAAAAAGAGAACTTGAAAACGTCCCTACTAATTTGGGGTATTCTATACTTGAACGCGTGGCTCCTGCGTGTTCTGGTCTCGCTATTCGGTACAAGAAATATTTCTGTTTGAATATCTACAAGACTTTGACTTAGTTTGTAAATTAGTCTTCTTCTCATTTCTAAAGTATCCCGTTCCAGCTCTCTAAGCATGTCTGTAACGCTAACTGTTCGGTTGAAATTCTGGAGGCAAAAACGTGTCGCCTTTCTTTGAACTCTTTCTAGTGTGATAAGCTAAGCAACATCATCAAACAAGAATGTCTATTTATAAATTTTATAGACACCGACCTTTTGTTGACTTAAAATATTTACAGACCAACTAATAGTTGGAATAAGAGGATAATTTAAACTGAAAATCTGTAACTGATGGGATGGAAGGTTAGGAAGACGCCGATCCATACGCATCTGGTATTAACCTGTTGAAAAAAAAAGTTGTTAGTGTTGTGGGGATGTTGCCCTGACAGAATATAAAAGGAGGATGTACTATTTACAGGAGGCTTACAAACCATTTTAATGCGGACAGAGGTTTCTTATTACTTCTACAAGCTACTACAGCTTAATTACTCAGCTATAAAAAACAACAAGAACTACCCTTCAGTGAAAACCAAAATCCGTTAAGTTATCCCCTTCAGGGAGACGTTTAACGAAAAAAAGTTAGCACAGAGTGATTTAGTCATAAGGAGTGAAAACAATACAGTTCAAGGCGAGTTTGCATTGATTATATAATGTCGCCCCACGTAAGGGAATCCAGATTCCGGAATCCAGGAAATTTTTGATTGTGGAACCGGAATCCCACTCTAATGAGATTGGAATCCGGAACTGAAGTTCAACTGATAAAAATCATGGTACGGAAACTACCACCTGGAATCCAGAGTCCACGGCGTCGACTGTCTTGGATTCACTTACATGGGGCGAATTAATTGCATGAACTGTTGATGATCCCAGATTCACAGCAAATTATGACCTTACGCATTGCTTTTTGCAGTTCATCCAGATTAATACTATTTCCAATTTTCCTTTCTCTAAATACAACTTTTTCCTAAAATGTACTTGCGGTCAGAGGGATCGTTCAAATTCGCAATCGTTTTCTGATATCTCTTTCAAAGTAACATAAAAAGTTCACCATCTGGAAGCCATTGAAACCAAAATAAACTACCCGGTGCCTGCCACGCAGGCTAATCTTTGGCTAGCTTTGCTATTTTAGTAAGAACATCCTTGTTTACGTTTAAAAAGCATTTACCACAGGTCAGGCCTACGTTCACCGTCAAAATTGTCCAAACATTCTACATTTTCTTAAATGCCTACTGCCTAATTTCGAACCCAGACCTCTCTATAAAGACCTGCAAAATTAATAAAAAAACCTTTAAATCGAGCGTGTCTATTATGGTCGACTCTGAACCTTTAAGAACAATAACTGTGTGTATGCTGACAAGTGCCAATATAAACCTTAAATATGTTTGACTGAGTGACAACCATTTACAATTTTTGAAAGGTAAATCCTCCGAGAGAACCCACCCCAGGCCCTTGTCATAGGTAATGTGTACAGATGTACAAGGATCATTGGAGAACAATTTTTCTTTTTCTTTTTTTTTTGCATTTTGTTTTGTTTTTGTTCCGTTTTGTTTTATTTATTTATTTATTTATTTATTTATTTATTTATTTATTTATTTGACCAGGTAATCAGTTAAACAGATTTACTCAACGTTCCCTTTGCACTGACAAATTAAGGGTGTAAAAACAAGTGACATATTCCAGTCGCGGGCAGTTTGTTGTAGTACTCACTTGTCTCAGTATAGTGGGGCCAGTCTCGAAAAACCATCGGATCACTGAGGATATGAACGGTGAGAGAGGCGGCCATTAAACTCGCGAACTTTTTCCAGCAATCTGTACCGGATTTTCTGCCATCTTTGTAGTCTGAAATGCCTTTAATTATAAACCAGGGAATGTCCAAGTCGTGAGTTGCTGCATGTAGACCTAGATTCGAGTGAAATGATTTTATCACCAAATAGACTAGTAAGGTCGTGGATTCTGGATTCCACGCCCTAGATTCTTGATTCCAAAACCCAGGATTCGCGTTTCCACAAGCAAAAATTTTCCCCGATTCCGGAATCCGGATTATCTTACAAGGGGAAAGGGTAGACATGCAAATTTAGATACGTGGTTAACAGTAAGCTGGTTTTGTTTTTAATTCGCTTCGATGAGTCATTTAATTTATTTTAAAACTAAACTAGGAAAAGTTTTCGTTAGCGTTGAATGGAGATTAATATGGGATAGCAGCTGCTAATTAAAACATTAACTAGGAAAGAGAGAGAAAGAAAAGACGAATTAAAAATTTAACTAAATGCCATTTGAAATGTCAAGGTCTTTAGAGGAAGTTGTAGAGGAAGTTGGTTTATTCCCGCCAAAGAAAACGTCGCCATTATTGAATAGGGCTATCTGAGCCAACTGAAGATTTACACGTTTACAGGGCAATGGTAGAATCTTTGTTCAGTTATTGTAACTCAGCGGACCCTGAGCGCTGGTCCCATTGGAAAAAAAGTAATCCAAACATCCCGCCTTTGATTTTTCAGGTAACGACTTTTCTGTAGGCTATGTGATATCCGTGTGACAGTATGCTTACCTTGCCCTTCTAATTCCATAGCAACTGCTTGTGGAAATCGCTTGATGAGGGTCTCGCAGCATTCATTGTTATCAATCACCCCTGGAACACTCAGAAAATCGCCACGATGTATTTTCACTTCAAGTGCTTTGGGATCTTTCAAAGGCGCTTCCCAACCATCTCCAGCATTAGGGATCAGCCTTAAAGGAAGGGATTTCAAAGGAACTTTGTCGCCGACCTCATCACTGGATGGAACACAGGTTATTAACTTCTCTGAAATAACCACGTCTCCTAATTTGACTTTACTGGATTTCAGGCTATAGCAGACACCTACTAGAAACACGGCTTTGGGCCTCAAGACTCTGACAGCCGCCAATACAGAGACTGCAGAGCCTCCTGCCGTGATTGAACCCCTGTGGCACTTCATTACAGCAGTTCGTAGCTTTATTTCACCTTCTCCAATGTCCCCGAAGTAAACGAAGCCAAGGTCTTTGCAGCAGCTCTTCCAGAAACTGTAATTCAAATACGAAAGGCAGCTCAGAAATTCACAGTCCTCTACAGTAAGTAACAACATGTCAATTGGGAGTAAACAATCTTTCCAAGGCTTTGATATTTTAGGAAGGTCCTTATTCTCAAGGAGAGTAACAGTGACCTCTGGTTGGTAACTTGCAGTTTCTACGGAGATAAAAATGAGAGATTTCTAAATTGACTGAGTTATGAATCGAATAAATACGATTTAGAAGTAAATAGGCCTGGTTGTGTGCGTTGCTTGTTACACAATGCAAAAATTTGTATGGGAAAAGCTGATATTTATCGAATAAAGCGGTGAAACAAACCACAACCTTTTACTATAGCCGAAAAGAAAAGCGAGATAAGCTCCAGTATTTTCTGTTATCTAAATAACCATATCGGCTTTTCCGATACATAATGATTAATGAAAAAGAACAATATCAGTTATAATCTTTGATAGCTTAGCCTGGGTGGGGGGGGGGGAGGTTACTCAACAGAGCTTTATACGGGGAGGCTCCACCCCGAGGTCCAACTTTTATATACCATTTTCGGCAGTAAAGGTACTCAGCTCCTTTCGTATACCTTCTATTGACCTGTGGTACCCCTTTCACATATCTAGTTCAATGCACTGTCCTTTAAAATATGAATAAACCACAACACCAGAACGCGTTATCGACTTTTCCATAGCCATAAAATGCATATACCTGAAGCCTAAAAAGGGTACCCCTTTAGGGCGGAGCCTTCCCGTACAGGCCATTATAGGAAGTACCCCACCCGGGTAACTTCGCTTTTGGTCATTTCTGTGGCTGACAACTCCAAAGAGAACAAGACTTTACACAGTTTTTTTTTTCCTGTTTCTCCGCTTTAAAGTCTTTTACTATATGCTCTTTCTTATCTATGATTTAAAGCCCTACAACTTCTCAATTAAGGAGCTAAAATTTAAGCATCATTAATAATTATAACATAATAAACTACTAAATACCAAGGTAGCTTCAAAATAAACGGTGCTCGGACCTACAACACCCTACCGAGAATCATTAGACAAGTAGAGACCCTCAGTGAATTTACTATCAAGCTAAAGCGCCATTTCAAACAGTGACGCCCGCGGTACATGTTGCCTTTGTAACTTAATTAATTGTCTAGTTTTAGTGTTTTAATGTCTTTTTTTTGTGTTGTGTCAGGGCTCCATTTAAACTAGCGCTGCTAAATTGGATGCCCCTGAATAAATATTGATTTAAAATAATAATAAAATAAACTGATACCTATATCGTTTGTTCTCTCAGAAAGCGGAGGAGTGTAAAAAGACACATTTCTTTTGGATCTATTGCTTATTTGCGCTTCTTCGTCAGAAACATCTATAAGAAAATTGTAACAACAACATTAACATCGCTGAGTCATTCTTTATTTTCTCGATCTGCAGCCCCACCCGATCGAACACAAAAGTTTCTGAAAAATATGTACAAACAAAACTCCTCAAGAATTGAAAGCGGACTATGTTACACACACTATGGTAAAAGGCATTTCCCACGTTAACAAAGCCGTGGGTTTTGCGGTTACACGTAAATTAATTCCCAAGGTAATTTAGTCCCTTTTACGGCTTCCTTCGAGATTCTGCGGTAATAATCGCCTTTGATCATGGCAGTTTTTGATGTTATGTTGAAAACTTACGTACAATTTAGCTAAAATTTCAACTGATATGTCAACCCTGATAATTTAGCAAAGGTACGTTGCATTTTTTCTTAAATCTTGACCTCTTTTTTTATAGTTCAGCTGTATTCCACTGTTCGATTCCATGCCGGGAATAGAACAACAAACCAGTTCAAACTATTTCAGTACAGATTGCCACTACAGTAGTGGAACCCGGTTAGTACGGACACCAAGGGGACATCCCATATTGTCCTTATAACCGAATGCCGTATCCAAACCCTCTATTATTTAGCGGGCTTTCACAGAAAACGTCACGTACATATGTTTTATCTATATGTAGACGAAAGCAGACATTTTCACGAGGAAACTTTGCTTAAGTTCTTAACTGAACTGCATGAAAAAAGTTCACCCTTAAGAAACCCGACATCTTTATCACAGTTTTGGACCAAGATTTCCTTTTAAGTCAGTGTTCTTATAACACGACAATGGAATCCGCGACTTTACTTTGTTCTGAAGGTTTTGGGTTGTGGGTTCCAATGTACTTTCATAGTGAAAATGGTTCGGAAAATGGTTCGAAAGACCCTATAGGTAAAGGCGCACACGAGCCAAAGGCCCCCGGGATTCAAGCCTCGCCCGTAGCGTTTTTTCCTTAGACAAGGAACTTTACTCCACTTTTTTCTTCACCCAGGTGTATAAATGGGTACCGGCGACATTATGATGATACCTCTGGGGTAACCCTGCGATGGACTAGCATCCCGTCCAGGGGGGAGTAGCAATACTCCTAGGTGCTTCATGCTAATAAAACCGCGATAAGCTCCGGCCGTTTGGCCTTTTGGGCCTTTGAATGGCCTTATAAATAGATTTTAAAGTTACGGCCCAAATAATCTTGCCAAAACTCGCTTCAGAATTGTAAACTTGTGAATCTGTTCAAAAATGTCAAAATCCCTAAAAGAAAAACGAGGATTTGGAGGGTGATCAGCAACAAAGATAAACGTAATAAATATTAATGAAATTTCTTATGAGAGAATCATGCATGACATTGTCAGTGTATATTGAAATGTGTTAAGGTACAGTTATAAGACACTTACCCACCCCCACAGAAATGCTGTTACCTTCTAGTGAGAACCATTTTTCCAGTCCGGGTAGCGTCGGCCTCTCAAGTCTTTTTTGGCAATGCCTCGGTATTCCCCCCTCTACTTTCAGAAGGCACAGACAGTCCTCGTGAGTACACCACTTCTGTTCGTGGATAGAACAAACCTGTTCATGTCGCAGACAGCCAGGACATGCGACGCACCAGTCACACTTTAGGTTTCTCAACCAGGACAGCTCACGTATTAGGGTCTGCAATGTCTCTTCCAAAAACTTTCGAACAAGAATAGCCACCTCGTTTGTTTCAGCGAACGATGCTTGGTTTACTTCAAGATTAATTCCCTTCGGTTGCGTCAAGATGATCTTGATGAATCTTTTCCTGCATAAAAGAATGAACTGGTGAAAGGACTTCTTCCCTATGAAAAACCGGGCAGCCCCATCAAAAAAATGTGGCGTTTCCTTGAAACCACTCTCAGAGTACCATCTAGTACACCGTGACACGAGCTGGTAAAAAAGACCGTGAGGGACAAAACCCCATTTGAAATGGAGGTAGAGAGGACATGGATCTGAACGTGATAATTCAATTTCACAAAGGAATTCAGGTGGTTTCTTCAGTTGACAGGGTACAAAGTACATTTCATTTGTTGGCGAGGTGGCAAATTTGACGATCAATCCGAACTGCTCCATCATGTTCAAGATATCCTCCTTGATCAGGCCTTTCTGCTGGCAGCACTTGGAGAAGACATGATCAACCAGCTCCATCTTGAGGACCCCTGTATCCTCCATTTCGTTCCACAACCTGGAAAGTCTTGGTACCTATCAAACCCGGAGGAAGGCGTTTCTTCAGTAAATAACAACAAAATGTGACACCTATAAAGATCGAATTAACTCAGGCATATTAAGGCCTGGATCTGTCATTTTTTGTTCTGAAATATAAGGGGGTGTTCTATCTTCAAGAGAAAATGTGTGGCATGGCTGGGACGTGGTCATTGCATTACCCCTGTGAAGATAGTATTTTGAGATTGACGTCACCATGGTAACGTGTTGCGTGACCAAGTAACGCTTCACTTCCGTATTTTGTCTTTAAGGATTCTGCAAGCAGGGTAAAAAAACTATTATTGAGAATTTTTATTGGTGTTGTTTTCACCTATCTAAGGTACTTTCCAACTGTAACTGGAATGGCGGTATGCCTACCCTTGATGAATGTTTTCTAGCTGTCACGTGACAGAAAAGTCGTCACATTTCAATGACCACGTAACCTGGACATGCCTTCCAGTTAGTTTCGTGCACATCCCGATATGCAAAACACTTGTCGCGCGTTATTTGTTAACTAAAGATAAGTGCGCATAAGTTATCCTACAGATGGCCTGAAGTTAAAAATGGTAATTAAATACCTCAATGAGTCACGTGATCCTTATCTCGACAACTTTCAATCAAACTTAATCTTTGCAACTCGTTTAAGCTCTCACGTAGGTTTCGTGTCAATATGTTGCATTTACGGAGATAGACCACCCCCACTCATTTTTTCATGTTTTTTACGTTTTTTAGATGACCCTGTCCTTAATACAACTGAAGGATCTTAACCTTTTTGTTGGGCGCTACCACAAAAGACATAGACGACTGAAACACGTGGTGCCAATATATCCAGCACAAAAACAAGACTGGATTAGTTAAATATTTTTGCAGTGAAGTAGCGGTATATTCTTAACAATAAAGGTCTCAGAAATACAAGTCCTTGAATAACTTGAGAGGTACGATAAAGCGTCAGATCAAACATGTATTAACTGTAATACATCATATCAGCTAGGCTCGATTACCAGCCGCTGTTCGAGAAAATGAGCCCGGACTAATTACCCCGAAGGAGTCTCTCTTCGGGGAGGATTAAGACCGGACCCGAGAGACGGCGGAAATCGAGCCTACATATCAGCAGAATATTGAGTTTCAGGAGACAACAAATAAGCATTGTAAGCCACATATGTGAAATACCAGTTAGAGCTAAGAGGCGGGCCAGTGGTATAGCAGGGATTTTTGGTTTCGTTGTTCTTGAGCTTAAGCAACGACGACGGCGACGGCAACGAGAACGGCAAAAAAAAACAAAAGGCTAGATAAGCAAACTGGCAACAACTTTGCACGTACATCACGCTTTTTTGTACGTTTCTTTGCCGTCGTTGCACGACTACCAAGTGAAAATGTCTAATTTCACGTTTTGTGGAGGACGTGGACACAAGACAACGCGCAACTTTCTTTTTTCTTGCCTGAAATACAGACCCTTAGAATTCAACTCCAGAAAAATTCGCGAACATTTAGCAATGAATTGAACAAGATGAAATAAGCGCGAATTCACCTGTTAAGTCAAAGTAAAGTAAGTTAAGTAAATGCCTTGTTTTGCACTGAGCACCCTCTACTGTGCATAACATTGCCACATCCAAGATGGCAGCGGTTCTTCCCACTAGCGCAAAAAGAACAAACTATGGCCGCTCTTGCAGAGCTAATTCGTAATAATGATGCCGCAGATCGGCTGAAAGCTTCCTGGTTTGCCATCGAAAACAAGAAAATGAAAGAAATGTGCGTGATCCAGAAGTCTGCAGTGGTTTTTCACTTCGCGGCCGTCGAGTTGTGGAATTATTAAAATGTGCTGGCTTAGGCTTTGGATTGTGACGACTGTGAAGCATGTGGGACAGCTCTACGGCTCTCCAACTGCATTAACGAGCCAGTATCTCGCCTGGGATCGCTATTGTACATATGTTGTTCAAACTCCGAGAGTGGAGAGACGAATATTTCTGGAACAAATAAGACCCACCGTAGCACCAGAACCACGCAAGGGAGACCAGTCTTTGATGTAAACACGAAGTTTTGCTGTGTATAGAAACCAAACAAGCGAACATACGAAGAATAGGAATCAAAAGTCTTTTCTTCAAGTCTCTTTGTCAAGCATTTATATCGTGCAAAAGCAAAAAAATCGAAGCCTAACTCACTGGAATTAAACAGAACAGCGGCGCTACAAAATAGTCCAAAATAAAGATTCATAACTCCAAAATCTCATCAAATTTTGACTTTCCTCATTCCTTGGTATTTAATGCACTCTTTTCAAGTTTGAATTTCTGTGTTGGCGATATCAAACACATAAAAACAACAGAAAACAAGCTTGATCTCCAGTGCATACTTCGAACACGATGGGCGTTATTTTGTATCTCGCCCCAGTCCCCGCCGCGCAAATTATCAATCCTGACTGCGATCTCAAAACCACCTTTCACAGCAGTTTGTGAGGAAACAAGCACGGTGACCCCCGATTTTTTTCCAAGGTATTTGCTAAGAACAGTCTAAAAACGAACATATTTGAAGAAGAAAACAGTTTGATGGTAGAACATGATTTTTTGGGGGGAAATAGTTTCGTTTTTGGTGTATTTGGGCCAAGGCGAGGACTTCAAGCTAACTACGGAACTGTCCAAAAAAGTGCAATATCCCCACAACCAGGCAATCAAAAACAAATTAAATGAAGCAATACTGCTTATTTGAATAAAAGAAGTTTTATGTTTAAGGTAAAATTTTTTGTGTTTCAAGTAAGAACGACTTAATTCTGTAAGAAGGGGATTGAATTTTTAAGGTGCAACTAGTAAAAATATCCCAGTTTAAGAGCCTGCTGACGCGTAAACAAGCACGGTGATCCCAATTTTTTTATTGCATTTTTTTAATGTTCATATCATGAATGTTGATTATGCCAAGTTTCAAAAAGAGTTTGATAGTAGAACAATTTCAAGGGAATTACCTTAAGTGACGTTTTCGTACCCGTCGCCGTCATTGTTGCTTAAGTTCCCTAGGTAGTTAGCGGGCGATCGATAACGTCATGAACAAGACCACAAACATTTCATTTTCGACGGCGTGACACCATCCTTAGATTGCCTGGTTTGTCAAGTTTAAGGTGGCTCTGATTCCAACCAATAAAGTGGCCATTGGTTGTTTCTTTTTGACAAAACATTAAGCTACAACTCGCAAGTCACCTATAGCCATTGAAAACGTGATGGGTTTAAAGTGCAAGTTAAGATTTCTGACGTGCCGTGCGTATCAACAAAGAAACCCCTTCACGACAGTACAATAATTATGAAAGTTAATTATCGCCTTGCTATCTGGAAATCTTTTAAGGCTTAGCTCTAGATCTGTAAGGTCATTGAAGGTTTTTTAAGAGATAATCAAGATAATCAAAAGCTGATATAAAAGGGGGTGGATGGTGTTTTCTACGAAGGTCATTCATTATGCTGCAATATATGTAACCAGGCTGAAATAATTAGGCTGAAAAAAATGTTTTACTTACCCTTTCGTCAAAAGGACGAATAGTTATGAGTTGTCTGAAGACCTCAATAAGCCATTGAGCCCAAAGTACAACTGTGTTGCGGTGTCTGACAATCATGCCGAGGTCATGATAGAAATCCAACATGGTGGCAGCCTCATCCTGGCCTTCAATGAAGCAAACTCTCTGGATAATACCTTGAAGTTGTTCGAAGTTTAAAAAATACACTTCCTGAGCAATCAAAGCTTTGATAACCTTCTCGAAGTTGAACCATCTGAAAACCAAATATAAAAATACAAGCTAAAAGAAGGTGTTAAAGAGTAATAACTGAACCCTTGATCTCCTACCGGGTGACTTAAAAGCAAAGAAAATCCAAGCAATCCAACCCGTTGACACAGGACCTGATCCTCTGCCGGTGCAAATTGGACAATGTGGCATTGTGCAATCACTGATATTGAAGGTATCGAGTTTTGTTTTCGTTTTCTTCCCTAACATTCAATGTTCGCTGAATGTGCTACGCACTGAAGAATAAACGAGGCTATCAGTGATGAAACTGATTGGAGACTGGGGAGACTGTTGGAGATGTAGGACGTGTTTCGCAACGCTCCGCTCATCGTAGATTTGTTTGGTCGTCTATGGAAGTTTCCAGTGTTTATATAACCCCAAAAAGAAAATCGAGAAATCTTGCTACATCTAGCAGCTCAGAAGAATTGTCACCCGAAGGAAAAAAGTTGAGACATTCGTACTCTCCTGACTCGAAGATCTCAGATGACGAAGACCAAACAATGGTGGCTCTGAATCTCACAGAAGGTGTTACAAAGAAACTGGACCTAATTTTAGAAAGGCTCAGCAAACTAGACTCGAAGATGGAGGAATTGAACAAAACTGTCAAAGGTTTACAAGGCAAAGTTTCCTCTCTCGAAATAGATGTTGTTTCAATTAAAGATAAGCAGAAGAGTCTTGATCAAAAATTCACACATGTAGAGAGCAATTCCAAATTTGTAGACAGCCACATTAAAGAGCTTCAGGAGATGGTGGAAGAAAGAAAAGATGAAATTAGTGCCTGTCGTAAACAAATTCTGTATCTCGAAGCGTACAGCCGCAGAGAGAATTTAAAGTTCGAAGGAATTCCTGAATTACCAAAATCGTCCGGTCAACAGAATGCAACATCGAAGGAGGACACGAAAGAAGTCTTAGCTAACTTTATGGAAAATGTCCTTGGGATTGAAGACGCCAAGGATATGGAACTCCAGCGAGTACATAGGATTGGCAAACCGAAGAGCGAATATGGAAATGGCAGTCGAACCATCATAGCTCGTTTTCTGAGATTCTCGGACAGGGAACGTGTTTTTAAATGCGGCCACAAGCTTAAAGATACTGGTTACAAGATGTACGAAGATTTTCCAAAAGAACTACATGATTTGAGAAAAGCCCAAATGAACAAATTAAAGAAGGCTAGACAAGAGGGCAAGCGTGCAAATTTTAGCAAATCTGAGCCCGACAAACTGTATATCGATGGCAAATATGTTAAAATGTAAAACTTTTTGTAGTACGATGTTTGATTGCATAATTAATGCGTGTTAGTGTATTCTTACGGGGAGTCTTTTTTTCTTTCTTTTATCCAAATTAACATTTCATAGATGAGTTTTCCATTTGTATTCTTTTTTATAATTACGGTGAAGGAGCTAAAGTTCGAAGACTACGGAGGGTGTCGTCGATGGATATGCCATTAAGATAGGATGATGTCATAGTTTATTTTTAGCTGGCTGACGTCATGCTTATCATATAGATAGGATGATGTCATAATTTATTTGTAGCTGGCAAGGAGCAAGTGACATCAGAATTTTCTAGAGTTGACGTCATCAAAAAAATGTTGAGATCATAATCTATAAACAGAAAAGTGATTTTTTTATATAATCAGCTATTTGCGATAGTTTTCTTATTAGATATTGTAGAAACTGTTATGTGTTCAAAATAAAAGCGGGCAAATTTTGAACGCGTTATCTTTGCAGATTATACTAAATGAAAAATCTTTAATCATTAAATTTCTTTCACTAAAACTCGGTTATAAACAAAACTAGGACACCGAGGTTAACTAAAAAATCTTTACTTCAAAAGAAGAGAAAAGGAGGTTAAGCGAATGCGAAATCGTACTAATTTTTCAGGCAAATCATGAAAACGAGGTCGAAGCGCAGCGAAGCGAAAAACTGCCTATCAAGCAAAAATGTCAACCTTTGTTGACCTGCCTCTGTAGAAAGTATGCACAGGCAGCTGCACAGGATATAAAAATTCTATAGAAAACAACAGGAGGTCCTAAAGTAAACCCTAACTTTGGTTCTTGAATAAACTCCATTCTAGTAACGAATGAGTGGAACGTCTATTTAAAAAAACATAGGAATAAGAGGTTCGATCTCCTAGCAACACATGTCTTCTTATTTAGCGCTAAAAATCGGATATATTAACAAAACACAAACACACACATACAAAAAGTGGAGCTGAAAACTCTCTATTTCAATTTTGACTCACCATTACAAAAGCGTTTTCTTCGTTCCATCTCGAGGAAACGACTATCTATCGAAGTCTCAGCGCTTGATGAGCTTATGATCTTGCGCGCCGTTAGTCAGTTAATTATGCGAGGTCACAAGCCCAAAGTTGAATACAAATTAGTTGATCTCTATAGCTAGACCCAAGGGAGCACCTTGACGTATTATTATATAAACAATTTTAAATAACTTAAAAAGGATCAATTTGAACACGAGACTAATAATAAGAAAAATAAAAAAATAAAACCACAAGAGAGATACCGTTTTTGAAAACTTTATTAAAAGTCAATAACAAAAAGAGTCAAATACACAGCGATTTGAAAGGAAAAGGAATGAAAATTAATCCTTTGACTGACTATTACAAATCAGTTTTTTCCGTTCCATTGCGAGGAATAATAACTAATCCTTCCGTGTCTACACAATTTTCCTATGGCGTCGAAGCCAAGAGTTCGACTTTCTTTGTTTCTTGCGTTTTGTCTTGTACTTTGTAGTCGGTCGTTTAGTTTTTGCTTCAAAAGAGGCTTCATTTCTTCGTGATCTTGACAGTTCGCACACCGTTTCTTGTGTCTGTATTGGATTGCGAGTACTAGTTGAGTGATTTTTTCCGGAGTTATCCGCTTCACTTTCGTAAAGGACGACTTTAACTTTAGGTTGCAGTTTCGCCTCTTGTAAATACTGTCTTCGCTGTATGTGGTCTAACTGATGAACATCCGCGAGATGGTTAGCTAATCTGACAAGATACTTCGCCCCACACGATGAAATAGGACAGTTTCTGCAAACTCTCTTGTAAACCATGTTGACAGTTCGATGGATGAACACAAATGACATCTTTTTCGCAAATAGTCAGGTTATATAGAGTGTCAGAAAGGCCAAACACAGGCCAGAAAGGCCATAACCAGGCCTGAAAGGCCAAAACATGGCCAAAAGGGACAAAAGGAGACAAACGGGCCATTCCTAGTCATGTATCTTTATTTTCTCAAACACACGCGTGGGTGTCGCGCGTCGCTAATCACGCAACAGCTCTCAACATTGGAATCATCATCTTATCAGTGTAACCACAAATAACAGTGCCTAATTAAAAACGTTTTGATCGTAAATTAGTAATTGGTATTTCAAATTTCAGATTTTATTTATTGTATCAGTTTACTATTATTGTTATTATTTTCAAGTCAGCAATAAAACACTCTTAAAGTTCGTTTGGCCTTGGTTTGTTTCTATAAAAGAGACGCGTTGCTTTCTGAAGTTTAGTTTCCTATCAGAACGCGTGCGTCACGTCATCGGCATTAATTTAAAGTATGACATCATCCTATCTTAATGAGATGCATGACGTCATCGGCGTTAATGTATTCCCCCGAAAGTTAATGGAATTCCCCCGCGAAGAAAAGGTTAATTCGGTGCCTTATCTACTACTCGCGTCTGTATTCTGATAGATAAATAGGTAATGACCAAGTTTCTTTAAAATACTCGTTCAATTCATTTTATTCTATAACATGGGCTAAGCGGTATACCACCCTATCAAACCAGGTTTGTACCGAAGGTCCTAGGGCCAACATCTGACTGATAGACTTAACGTCGTTCTAAAGCGGAAAAAGGCTGGGTTTAGCTATGTCGGAGGACTGGTACGGATGAATCGTTTCCTTCGTGCTGTCTTAGTTTCTCCTCCCTGTTTCCCCGATGTAGACTTTGACGCACTCACAGGAAATCCTGTAGATCACGAGACCGTCTTGTTAAGCCGGAAACGTCTGGCCATTATATGCAACAGAACGAGATAAAGCGTATACATCGAGACCCACTGATATAATACTACCGTAGCGTGAAGGAAGCTATCCACATCATGAGACTTCACCTTAATACCATCAACAGAAAATGAACAGGGATAGCGGAATTGAAATGCGTTGATGTTCACGGTTAGGAAACGGCAAAAAGAGGATGGCAAATAAACGGACCGCCGAGGGAACTAATTCTCCGCGTCACGCAGGAAACACAACCGCGCGAACATTGTGTTCCATATGGCAGTTTTAGTTTTAATTATTTCACCACAAAAAACGAAAGACGAGAATACAGAAATACACAGAATATGTGGTGAGGAAGCCCAAAAAAGAAACCATAAAAATTAAGGCTCATAGATATTGGGCTCCCTCAGAGTAAAAATGTGTAAGTTTACAAGGCCAGGATTGAGCGTAAACTGAATAATTAAATGAAATTGATAGAAAGTGAATAACTAATATAAATATGTATAAATATGAAGTATAGTAACAAACAAATACCCTAAACAATGGGACACTGTGAAAAAAACAGAAACTATTTACAAGGTTTATAAATTTATAATTATTAGTTTTCATAGAAATGCTTACGAAGTTTAGGTAGAATCTTTGATCTCACTTCCTAAAGAGTTATGATAAGATGGTCCTTGGAAACTCACAGAAATTTTACGAAGTGCGGATTGGTACTACAGAAAGGAAGGTGAAAATCATTCGTGCATTTAGTGTCACAGTATGGACTTCCTTGTTAAGAAAAGTAATATTTATACTCTACTAGCAGAAGCGAGAATGGCAAAAAGAAAACATAAGTTTACCCAGTTCTAGTTGCCTAATGTCAGAAAGTGCAATGTGGCTGTTCACCATTCACAAAAAGTTTCCGGAAAACCTGGTTGGAAAGTAAATGGAACACGACTTTTTGGGTCGTCCCAGCGGAAAATTTCCGGGAGCAACGGAACATATTTTTTCCGGACAGAATGCTCAAAACGGAAATTCGTGTTCCATTTCTTCAAAGCCATCTTTGATACCAGTTTCAGGCTTCGTGGCCGTTTTTTGGTAGTGGAAATGATTTGTACAAATGGTAAACGCGATTCCGGGATGAAATGTACCAGTCCTGAATTTTGCTTACCATTTGCCCAAACCGTGAACCGATCAGTTTCCCATGAAAATGGTAAAAACTCTGTGTAATCATTCGACCTCGCTGGCTAGAGAACACAACCAGAAGGTATTCGAAACGCCGCGACCAACTCAAGTGACTACAATATAAGACAAACGATAACTTTATTTTAAAAAATTATTGCCCCCGCAGGGATTTCGCCCAGAGGCGAAATCCCGAGGGGGCACCCCAGTAACTCGCGCGTATATTAAGGAAAGTACTTACAGTTCAAATATACAGTCAGTATACTAGAAAAAATCTCGATTTGCTCGAACAGGGGCCGCGAGGAATCGGTAGGTAATGATGACGTTTCTATTGTTTGCGCCCGCAAGTACGAAACGGTTAGGATGACGTAAAGACAGAAAATCCCGAAGGGACCGCTCAGGTAGATTTTGTGACATTTATTGTGCAGTCATACTTCGATACTCTTTTGCGTTCCGCAGTGACATTCTGAGGAGCAGTTGTTTTGAAAGTTATGGACCAAAAGACACTCGTTAAGCGCAGATGAGGTTATGAGGAGCGTTTAACTGTGTATATATAAACACTTGGAGAGTTTGCCAGACACGAGTTCACAAATCTTTGATTTATATTGGAAACCTTGCCAGACACACTTTCTCTCTCTTTGACCGGAATAAGACTCAGCCCCAAACAAGCAAGACGAGTGAACAACGGCTAGCTTATCACTAGCAGATTGATGGACAATTACAGAAATTCGCCGACAATCAAATTCTGTGCTGACTTATTCCCTGCTCACAGATGTCCTTCCGTTATAAAGTTTCAAATGGTTTAGAATAAACTCAGTTCTCGAAACTGAGAATGTTTTGATCAAAGCTGTGTAAATCAAGATGAAACTGTGCATGGAACCTTGCGTTTCCTGTATATTTATCTCACCTGTTGTATGGAATGTGTGATAATCTTCATTAGCAATCGGTATATTTCAAAGAGCTACACAACCAGCAAGAATACTATTGACCGACAATATACAGAACGGGGGCAGCTGTAGTGTCAACTATTACTAGTTTATTAAGAACTATATTGCATAACCTTTAAGTATAATCTTCAATAACTAATAAGGAGCAGAGTTTTTCTTGACTAAAATACTTACCTAATTGGCACTTCTTCTCCCATATATGGTTCTTGTTTTAACACTTCACTCACTCGTTTCTTAAGTGAGACAACTCCCTCATCAGATGAACCTTGGGTATTATCGACAGAGAAGAGTGGACGGATCACGTGACGTTCGTAGTCCTTTCCAGAAATTTCCCGCTGAATCTGCGATTCAACCTCCTTGAAGTCTTGATAGGGTTTATCTGCATGTGTTCCTACGATAAATACTGGAGGGCGACAGTACGGCAGATCTTCCTCTTTTACTGAGCACATAGTCCTTAGAGAAACCAGCCATGACAACAAACTTTCTAAATTTGTTTCCTTATTTGGATTACTAAGTAGAATTTTCCGAATTCCCTGTTTAAAACAAGGCTGAGCAGTGTCGTCTAATTTTTTACTGAGATCGTGCACAAGTATATAAACTGCTCGCGTCGATAAAAAAACTGGGTAAGACGCATAGTAAAGATGTTGACCGGCGAAGTCCCAGAGATCAAGGGTGTAGTACTGTTCGACTACTGTTGTATCACTTTGATTGTTCACGTTTTTGAAACGTTGAACAAGATGATCCGTAAATTCTTTTGGAGGCAAACTGGGATCGATTTTTAGGTCAGTTAAGATGGCTGTATTTGTTTCTTCTCTAACGTCGGATTCTCCTGATGAGCCCTAAAACGGTTTTAAAAAAGGTTAAAATGCTACTTTTTTAACAGTAACTACTTCAAATACAGTCGAAACTCTCTCTGCGACTATTACAGTGCAGAGTGTGTTGCTGCCACACCCTTACTGCATTGGTCATTGCTAGCTCAGAGTTTGTGGCTTCCCACCCCCATTAGGGTGTTTTGCTGCCAACCTTATTGCATGCACTTTGTGGGATGAGTTGCTGCCACCCTTGTTTTACTTCAGAGTGCATCCAACAACCTATAGTCCCATTTACTACCAAAGATTGTGTATTTTCCTTAAAAATAGTAAGCTACTAAGTTGTTAAATGATATTTTACTTGTAAAATAAAGTTAACTGGTTTAAACGTATTACTGAAGCTGTCAGTTTACCATGATATAGTCAGTTGTTGGTTACAAACATTTATTTTTTTTCGCTGCTCTGTTTGAATGAATCACGCTCACTTAGGTATAGTTCGAAAGACCTTGCCCCCTGCAGACGTTTGGCGAACAACGTTGTTTATGACCGCTTTTAATTAGACCATAACGTCGCAAGCGGTACGTGGATCCAAACGAGCGGTTATTAAAAAGGGGTTGATCCTCAATTATCCTTATAACGTATACATTCGATAAGGCGCCCTGGGGGCTTATTTAGCTTTTGGACCTTGAGAGTGGTCGCTTATTCGAGGTGGCCGCTTCTTTGAGGCTGGGCACTTATTAAATTTTCACAATTTTCAGCAATAGGAATTTTATGTTGCAACAAAATGTGACAATGTTTCGACTAAGAAAAATTTAAACTGTTCCTGGAAAGTTTCTTCAAAATACTAAGAAAACTCGGTCTTCAGGTAAGTCTCTAGTAGAACACAGCCTATTTCAATCTCATTTTCGGTAAGGTCAATTATTTTTTGGTCGGAAGTTGTAGGAGGGGTGGGTGCTTATTCGAGGCTTGTCGCTTATTAGCTTTTCCTGCCTATAGGGTGGGCGCTTTTATTTGAGTTGGCCTATTCGAAGTTGCGCGCTGAATTGAATAAATACGCTTGTTAATAAGGAAGAATGCCAGAACAGAAGTCCATGAAAAAGAATTGGGACAATAGATCCTCACTTAAGTAAAGAATTTCCTCTGAGGGTGGAACAGTGATCTGTAATGTTTACAACCTCGTTCCCACGGTGTGTCTCCCTTCTGCCCGTCTCCTGCAACAAAAAAATAAAGGCTTGCCACACGTACATAGAGGGGAATTTAAACTGACCTGATCCACTTGAGTCTTAAACAAGGCTGGTTTCTCTTCCATCAATGGCTTCACATTTGTTTCCTGTCCCTGAAGTTTTTCAGGAGCGTCAAAACCAGCCTACAAAATGTGCCGATAAAGACGAACACATTAAATTTGCACTCTATTAAGGGACCATTCTCCACTTAACAGAGCTGAGTTGTTCGAAGCTGGCTTAGCGGTAATCCTGGGTCATAGCTGGTGAGTTGTTATGGTAACTAACCCTTAGTTTGCGCAAATCATCTCTTTCAATAGCGTTTCGCCCAGACTAATTCTGAATAGAAAATTCTTTTTTTAACACAGTAAGCACCCTCAGCGTATAAGGACGTGTTAGACCTCTTAACTCATAAATAATTTATTAAGAGCCACTAGGGCCCAAAATCTTACACACTTCCCAACTATCAAAGGCCTATCATGACAAGAGAAAAAATGAAAGGAATGAAAGAGACCTCTACCGGCCCCCAACGCGGTCGAAACTGTTTTGTTTTGAAAACCGATTTTATTTCCGAATCGATCGGCAATGCGCGTACCCTTTTGAGTGTAAGCTGGAAATCACTGAGCCCACAGTTTTTATGGCCTCCATGAGCTCTGCGAGTTTACAAGTTTTGCATTTCGATCATTCATTTCTAAGCTTAGCGACAAACATATAAAGTAACTGATATCTCTGCAAGTGACATGGTTATTTCAAAAGACGTGATACTTTTCCCAACCGGTAAACTTTTATTTGTCAACTAAAATACTCGGCTACTTCGTGTGAATACGATAACGTGGAAGTCAAAGAAAAATCAGTTATGTCTCATGCTTCTTAAATTATAGCTGGCAAAGATGTCGGTGAATTTTTATTTTATTTTTTCACACTCAAATCTTTTTCTGGTTCAATTTTCGATATGTAGCAAAGCTATTTCATTTGAAAATTGGAAAATCCAGTAATTATGCCTAATTAGCCGTGCAAATGTTGTTTTGGAATCGCTGAAATCAATAATCGGCCGGTCGTGTTTGCTTCAACATTTCTAGGGAAAAACCCGCTCACACGCCAGACACGCCGCACGTTCAACCGTTCTCGCGCAAACTTGAATGGACCGATCAGAAACACTTATATTAATGGTTGTCTTTACACTAGGCTGTTAAGACTTAGGAGCCGCTAAGTTTTACTTAACCAAAAATTGGTGTTTGAAGGCCCAAGTAAAATCTCTAGTAACTTTGCTTTGCATCTCTAGTAACTTTGCTTTGCATCTCATTAAAGTCGGAAAGTTGAAACGATTCAAGAAAGTTTCAAGCGACTTGAAAACCATCCTTATGACCGACTTAGCTGACTTGCGGTTTTGCGGTTTCTTGATTTGAGAAAGGCGAGACATGTCAATCAATCTTAATTTTGTTGCGTGGGAAAATAACCTGTAGTACAAAAGAATAAGTTGTGTGTGAAGCTTTATTTTACTTGAAGTAATTAAAATTTACTTGTCTTAAAATATTTCTTAGCTTGTTTAGGCTCTAGTGTAAAGACTACCATTGTTTTTCGCTGAAACCAATTAGAGACAATCTTGCGCCGGGGTTCCCCAGAGCTCTTGATGTCTCTTCTCTACATGCGCAGAAGGGCTCTGGGTCGAGATTGAAAGAAGCAAAAAGTTTTGGTTGGATCAAAGAGCATGCGCTGTGAGGCCCAAACAGCCAGAGATTTTGGCTACTCCGGCGCAGTTTCCCAGAGCTTACGTGCGCATTCCCAAACCCGTAAGCGCTGGGGTCGAGAATGTATCTCATTCCCCTTTATATTTTACTCTGCCAATAAGGAACCTCTGCAAGCAGGGAAATTTTGCACAGTTTCTTCAAGAATGTTTTTTTTTGTTTGTGACGTTACATACATTACGTGAAAGTTCTGTGTTTGTTTCTCTATCTCGCCATCCCCCTCTTTCCCCTTCTTTTGCTGTTGATGTTTTTTTGGTTTGTTAGCCTTGAGTTGCTTCTTGGCTAACACTCTGACCTATTTCACTTGTCTGCTTGGGTTTACCTGTTTTAGATTGATCTCTCCTCTTTCTTCAACTTCATTTTCTTTGTCATTTTTTCTCTCATCTCCTTCACCACCAATTTCTTGGAGATCCCTAGCTACCCTCTTCGCAAGATCGGGAGCAAATTGAGACACTCCAAACTTTTCATCGGTGCGTTTCCAGTTTTCTGCTAGATCAGTATTTACTTCGAATTTCGATGGATCAACTTCAATTCCGTCAGTACTTTCTTCCTCAGAGTCAAATGGCAGACCTAAGAAGGACTTCTTCAAACTTGTCTTCCCTGCACGATCTTGACCTATGAGCATAATTCGTGCTCGGTAAACCTTCACTTTTCCAGTCTTTAAAGCATTTAAATAGGCACGTTTTGCTCTTGGACCTCTTGCTATGATCTCGCTTGGAACTAGATAAATATATTTAAAAAATACATACAGTTTTCAATGAAAGAAAAAAAAATTCTATATATTTCTTCCGTCTTAATATCAGCGGTATTTTTGGATACATTATTGCAAGAAAAGGTTAAGGAAGATAAAAGAGAATTGATTTTACTAGATAAAAGTATATTCAAGATTAAAGTTCTAAGTTGTATGGCAGGAAGTTGCACCCAGCGATAAACTGCATAAGAATCAATTCAAACCGCGCTCTACACGGCATTATTTTGCCCTCATTACTCATTAAAATGTAGTTCCCGTTTCTGGTTAACTCAGGCCCCTGGCTAATTCTTCATAACCAGAATTCAGTTCACTTTAGTTAAACTCTTTACACGAGACCTCTTCACATGAGCCCGGTTACCGGGACAATTTCGCCTTATGTTGCATGAAAGGCGCGAAAGTCAATAACTTCGCGTTTCGCCATGCTTCGCTCCAGAACTCGTCCCCAGGATCTTCGGCCTTTTCTCATTTTGCCGGGAAACCGGGCTGAAGTTTCTCATATGAACCCAAGGCGAAATTGGTCTCGGTAACCGAGCCAGTCACGTGAAGACGCTCTTGTTAACCTTGTTTATGTGCGTAAGAAAAACGTCAGCGAATTTTCAACCGAAAATGGAAACTAATAGTCTGGACTGCCATTTTGTGTTTTTACTTTTTGTGATGGGTTTTAAGACAACGTTATTTCTTGATATAGTTTTGTTATTTGAAAGAGATTTTGAAATTTTTCGTACGTACACAAACAAGGTTAAGTGTTTATGACTCAGTCAATTCCAAGCGTGCCCACCCCCCACCCCCCCTGGTATTTGTCGGGCATTTGTCATTTTGTTTTGGGAAAGCTGCAAATGCCCCACGGTGGGGCCGGACCCCACAGAGGGGCTCAAAAATACGGTGCAAATGCAACGACGCCAAAAATGCATTTTCCTGTAAATAAGCTGCAAACACCATATTTGTGGGAAATCTAGCGTAGTCTAATCAAACTCGCGCGTAAAGCACCCTACACAAATCGCTAGTAATGCTTCTCCCTTCGCGTGTTTGCTTCAAAATAAAGTGATGTTTCTGCTAACGATTATTACAATTTATGACAAGCCTCTAATGAGAGGCCAACTTCCATTAAGAGGCCACTTACCAGTACCGAGGGTGGCTGCTTAATGGAAGTTCAACTGAAGTACAAAATTTCAAGAGATTCCATTCCATGGCACCAATGAGCAAAAGGGACTCAGGAAACAAAGCAAAAAACAGGTACCATTATTAAGATGTTTACCTCTTCTCTAAGAGGTGTTTTTTGTCGTTAACTCCTTCAGATTTCTGATACCATATTTTTGTCTCTTAAATTCAGTGTTCTCCTTATCAAGGAGTAACCCGTAAATTTACCGGCAACACTTCTTACTGCCTGCAACCGCTTGAAGGTTCACTAAAAAGAAGTTTTAAAAAATGCGCAAGTTGTGATCCGATCCGATCAAGAAAATGAATGAATATATGTAAAAGTACTAATAAAAGTATATCTACCTGGATTTATGAAAACCGGGCTAGCAAACATTTTGTAATTTCTCTCAACTTCCCCTGTCTTAGGTTTTTTAGTGTTGTTTGTTTATGTCGTTTTATGTTTGTTTTGTGGTTAAGAATTTGTGTACTAAAAGGACATTTATCGAATTCACGTTTCACGTTCTTTCTAAACTCGCCCCACCCTCAGAGGCCTTTTCTTCCAAGTTTTTTTATTCTTTCTTTTTCCTAAATTCCTGTTTCTAACAGTTTATCTTTTTTTGTGTGTTTTTCTATATCCAATGTTCCCTCATACATTCCCAATGCCAAGTTTGACAGGCATATTCTTTTATACATTATGTTTATGTTTTTGGTTATATTAGTTTGCATGGTAAAGGTCAATTCTAGAAATCACATTTGACCCTCTTTTCGAACCCCCCCCCCCCCCCATCTCCCTCCTTCCCTAAGGGTTTTTTTCCGTCCCTACCCAGAAATCTCTGTTTAACACAAGTGACAGTTGTTTGGTTTCAGTGCTCGTCTAAAGCTGGTTTCGGTGCCATTTAGCAGTTTATATTTCGTTATTCCCCACCGTAATTTTTAGGGAGTTATTATAACTCCAAAAATGGAATAAACATTTTAGGTACAGGATAACCCCCTTTTAGGGGTTATTTAACTCCTAATTTTACTCCGAATTTGGGGTCATTTTTACTCCTGAAAAAGAGTTCTTTTTACTCCCAGTGTGGAGTTAAAATAACTCCGAAATGGGGTTACTTTTACTCCTTACATGGGTTGTTTTTACTCTTTTTGGGATTAATTTAACTCTGAAAGTGGAGTAAAAATTTTAGGTACAGAATCAATATCTGGGGTCACTTTTACTCCTGAAAAAGAGTTCTTTAAACTCCTTTTTGGAGTTAAAATAACTCCCCCAAAAATAACTCCACTGTAAGGAGTTAAATTACCCCCACTAGAGGAGTTATTATAACTCCTTGAAAATTACTGTGCCGGAGTAGTCAATCGATAAAAATCGGTATCGATTTATCACTCGATAAATCGATAAAAATCGGTAAATCTGATTGGATTGATATCGATTATATCGATCAATGGGTAGAAATCGATGACACACTCTTTTCGTTTATCGATTTATCTAGATTTTACCGATTCCATCGAATTATATCGGAACATATAATCTGTTCTTCTGTTCACTCAAAAATAAAAACTTCTTTCATGCAAACAGTGAATTTGTTGACAACTGAGTTGCAATTGAGAGTCAAAGGATCAAACAGTATTATTACTTTAAAAAAATAAAATAAAATAAATCCTTTCTTTTCTTTAAAACCCGCTTTAAAGTCTTCTTCTGATGGCCGTTGGCCAGGTTTTTAGGCGCCCAGTTTTTTCACGATTTAGATCTGCCACCCTTTCAAAATAACATCAGTTCCACGCGGTAGTTACTTCTCTGAGTAGCCAATACATAAAAATCGAAATCGATAAAAATCGTTAGCTATCAAGTGATTTTATCGATTGATAAGGGAAAACGGTGAAAAGCTATCTAGGGAAAACTTTTAGCCTGAATTTCAGGCATCCCTTGACTCTTGAGGATCTCTGAAATTCAGCTGGGAAATCTCGTGGTACTTGCCTGCGAGAACTGCGATTGTAATTAAACTGAACCGTTTTTGTTATTATGTACAAAAGGGTCGGTTTTAGAGAGAATCTTGTGTCTTTAATAGTTTCTATATTTCTTATTTTCATGTTTCTTGATCAGTTGTTACAACTTAATATGCCAAAAAAAAACAATGTCGGACTTACCGTCATAAATCGTTAAAATCATGAAAAATCGATAATATCGATTTGACACAGCAATTTAGTTTATCGATTTTCACCGATTTCCGTTATCAATCGATAAAAATAACTTGATTGCTATCGATTTTTATCGATACCGATATTTATCGATTGACTACTCCGGGCGTTATTGGTTACCTTAAGAAAAGTTTCCCAGGGCATCATGTAAAGCTCTGAGATGGAACGCGCGCCGTTTGTTTTAAAATTATTTTTCTCAGTTGTATCATATCATTGTGTTTCTTCGTTTATCTCTCATCCCTTATTTGGCATCATTTGTTGTTGCTTTCCATACGTCTCCTCCTGATATGATCCTGACATTTTCTATGTCGGTTGTACGCACCACTCTGACATCAGTTGTACGCATTACTCTGTCAGTCGTACCAATTACTCTGTTGTCGGTTGTACGCACTACTCTGTCAGTTTCGTCAATTGTAAACATTTACTCTGACGGTTGTACGCACTACTCTGTCGGTTGTGTACATTACCAGTCAGTTAATTGTAAACACATGTACATATACTCTGTCTGTTGTAAACAAACGTGTCGATTGTATACATTACTCGGTCAGTTGTTAACATATACTCTGTCTATAATGTACGCATTACTCTGTCAGTTGTAAACATTTACTCCGTCGGTTCTACGCACTACTACATTACTCTGTCAGTCGTACGCATTGCTCTGCTGGTTGTACGCATTACTATATCAGTTGTACACATTACTCGACAGTTGTAAACATTTACTCTGTCAGTTCTGCGCACTACTCTGTCGGTTGTTCAGAAACACTACTCTGTCAGTTGTACGCATTACTCAGTCAGTTGTAAACATTTACTCCATCGGTTCTACGCACTACTCTTTCGGTTGTTCACACTACTCTGTCAGTTGTAAAAATTTAATCTGTCGGTTGTACGCACTACTCTGTCGGTTGTGTACATTACTTAGTCAGTTGCAAAAACATACTCTGCCGGTTGTACACACTACTCTGTCAGTTGTACGCATTACTTTGTCAGTGACACGCATTACTCTGTCAGTTGTACACACTTCTCTACCAGTTGTTAACATTTAATCTATCGGTTGTACGCACAACTGTCTGTTGTGCGCACTGCTGTGTTAGTTGTAATATTTACTCTGTCGGATGTACCCATTACTCTGTCATTTAAAACCATTACTCTGTCAGTTGTAAGCACTAATTTGTCAGTTGTATGCATTACTCTGTAAGTTGTACGCACTACTCAGTCAATTGTAAAAATTTACTCTGTCAGTTGTACGTACTTCTTTGTCAGTTGTACGCATTACTCTGTCGGTTGTACGCATTACTTTGTAAGAGAATTACCCCGAAAATTGGCCTTTTAAACAAGATGCGTACCCACCTACCAATTAGAGAAAGAGAATTGTTCTACAACGCCTTAATTAAACCGATAATAATGTATGGGAGCATGGTGTGGACTTCTCGCTCTTACAATGATCTCAAGAGAATCTTAACGACTAGAGAAAACAGCTGCGCGAATAATTCTTGGGGTATATTCAAGATCGAGGACAGTAGAAAATTTTAAGAAGCTAAAATGGTTACCGCTCTATGACGACGCTAACATAGATAAGTGTGTTCTACTTTAAAAGGCATTGCAAGGCGAATCACCCATGTATATCAATGATCTCTAATTACGAAAAAATCAGTACATGGTGGAGAGACGAGACAATGGCCAACATAACTTCGTATGCCCAAAGTTTCGACACATCACCGAAGCGGGAATGTCTTTCAGTAGCATAAAGTTGTGGAACAGTCTCCCTGATGATCTTAAAAGGAAAAACAGCCTTTCATCTTTTAAGAATGCTTTGATAACTTATTTTAGAGATTCTTATATTGATATTGATAATTTTGAGGCCTTATTGTAAATAAATCTTGTATTGTTAGGTTAGTTAATTTAGTTATCCTGTTAGTTAATTTAATTATCCTGTATTGGTCTAATTGCGCAACGAAGCTTTCTTCAGAAAAAAACATTGTAACATCTTTTACCTCATGAAGATGATAAGAGGGATGGATTATTAGTAAGAATAGTGGTGAGACTATGGGGAATAGGGCAATATAAAAAAGAATTGCAGAAGGATGTTAAGAAAGAAATATATTCCCGCATTAAAGCAACCCAAGAGGAAAAAAAGGAAAGAGAGATATTTTAACCAAAACAAACAAAAAATCAAATCCTTGCATCTCCCAACTGAAAATTCCCCAGCGAACGTACTGCAGCGCTTTTTGGTACATGCCGAACACCGACACAAATAACCAAAATACAGTTGACTCTCTCTTAACGGACACCTCTGTAAAACGGACACCTAGCGTTGGTCCCTGCCTTTTTTTATTCCCTTTATTCGACTCTTTATAAGACGGACATCTCTGTAAGACGGACACTTAGAGCCGGGCCCAAAGGTGTCCGTCTTGGAGAGATTGGACTGTATTCCTCTTGTTTGCTTTTCGCAAACGACAACCTCCCATCCTCGGAGACCCAGGGGTAGTCAGTCGGGCCGGAAGAAAAGGCGAGACGAAAGATTACAAGCACGTGCAACGGTCCAGGGAATGCTGGCTCCTGAACGGGCAGAAAAAATGTTTGGCATTATTGTGCCCAATCGGCCTGAGTACTTTTCGTAAGTTCGAACATGGCAGGTTTTGTCTCGCCATTTTTGTCCCGACAGAGTAGTGCGTACAACAGACAGAGTAATGCCACCGGGAGTTATGTGTACAAGCGACAGGGTAAATGTTTACAACTGATCGCGACCGAGAAGTGCCGGGGAGTGTGTGACTGTGTGATTTCCGCATGGTGTTGACAGGCAGAACACAGGTATGTGCCCGGTATGTGGTCGTGTGATTGAGTTGGTGCACCAAAATATTCTGTGCCAGCCATACAAATGTTTCGTCGGTGTTTGGCTTAGCTGATTGAGCCTTGGAAAACCGATTCTCGACGCAGGAGAATTTGATCTAGGTCTAGTTTCAGCGGCTTCTTGGCGTTGAATAATAGGACGGTTTTGCTGATAAGAAAGTGATAATTTGTGTACTATGTTCCAATTAGGTTGTTGTCTATTCAATGCAAAATCCTGTCACTTATCGGTCCGCAAAAAAAAATTAGAGTGTCAAGTTGCTATGTAAGCCTTAACCAGTTCACCCCCGTGAACAGTTTCATTAAAGCATATAGTGTAGACTAGAAAAGAAAAGTTTTTATCTTCTTAAATTGACCCACTGTAGAATAGATCTGGAGTTCCAAAGAGTCTAAGTTAGTCTTCGTTTAAATAACCGGCCCAGTGTGTTTAAGTTGTTATGTAAGCCTTAACCAGGCACTTTTTGGCGGCATTTCACTCAACTTAAAATTTCTAGACTGAAATGACGCCGGTTTGAAACTTCAAGGAGTCAGATTACTGAATCAGTAAATATTTTAATATTTGCTTCTTTTTAAAATATTTGTACTCGTTGAAATGCTTTTAGAGACCACTAACTTACTGCCTTGCGTCAAATAAAGGCTTTTGATCGGCCTTTGAATGATTTTTTTATTGTTTTAAATTGTTAAGTAGTAGAATAAGTTGATTTTTTTGCCAACCGGGTTTTCCAAAATCCAGGTAAATATACAGCTTTTCTTTTTATGAGCCACGCATTTAGGAAAGAGAACACTGAAGACAAAGTAAAATTATTGGGATCAAACGTTTTAAATTGTTGTCTAAAGATAACAATGGCCGACCGATTGGCGTAAAATAAGTCTTAAAATGAGGCAATGATGTTTCAAAGAACTTAGCTCCTCCTAAGGTGGACCATATCCCTCACTCCACTAACCAAACCCCCCCGCCCCCCCTCCCCACCTCCCCCAGGAAGGTGGTGCGTGTTTTTTGCCTTACCGGCCATGAATGGCCCTTACCTGTTGAGCTAAAAGACTCTATCGTTTGCCCGCAAATATGACAATTTATGAGTCTTTCTGAGCATTCCTTGCAGGCACCGTGATCACACGAAAACGTAGTATTTTGGTCTCTTTCCATGCAGATTTGACAAGGAATATCTATCCAGGCCATGGCTTGCAATTTAGACTCTAGAAGGCGTATTCGTTCGGCGTAGTCTGTCTCGTCCATTAAGATTGAAGTGCTGACCGGGTCGTCCTCTGAAAAATGATAAATCAAGCCAAGAGACCATCACTAAAGCTAATCGTCTCTCGACTACGAGCAGTCTCTTATTTTTCTTTGCAATGTTCACTAGACGGATTTTAAGGCAAAAGGTTGGGCTTCAAGCAGTTTACATCATCTCAACATCAAGACACTTAGTCGATAGGGCTACGATTAGGTGAAAACGAGGCTGGAGTTGACCTTGTTTGAATACAACCCTTCTTACTTTATTATATAACTCATGTTGTTCTTCAGTTAACTAGTATTTTTCAAACATAATTTTCATAAGAAAAAGAAGGAGCTTTGTATCAAAACATGGTCAACCTCAGCCAAACCCTCAACTGTAAAACAGCCTATATTTCGACTTTCTACACTTCTCAGAAAAGGAGAAATAATCACAGTTCCAGTTTCTTACAACAATTTCAACATCTGACTCTTGTGAAATGAAAAGAATCATTAGGGACGTAACAGTCTCTAACAATGATCAGTAAGCCCGGGGGCTACTACGGTTCTTAAAGGTATCACCGCAGATACGCACTTACAATACTCGTCACAAATCGTTGAAACAGACACCGCTTCTCTTGAATTTACTCCTCACACTTTTGTTCCCACTGTAATGTTCCCTCTCCCTCCCCAATGTTAAGCCACGCGTATTTGGAAGCTCTGAGACCACTGTAATACTCAAATCAACATTGGGAAGGGGAAACGCACACAGGTGTTTGAATATTTTTGACGAGGATTGTATATAAGGCAACACAAATTACATTGATAATACATAAAGGAGGGTTGGCAATCCTAAGAACGAAAACATGTTTTTCTTTAAACTTTTCCCTCACAAACCACGTTACGTTACGACGAGATTTTTTGTCACCCTAACTATTTACTCCGTAGACGAAATCTTATGGTCTTGCATTCAAGTGAAACCTCTTCAGCAGTACTTTGAATTGATACTATTGGTCCAGTCATTTTACGCGGAAAATATGGTCAACCCGGAAAAAATTTTCACAAAAGAAATCTCAACGGTTTTAGACTACTTAGAATTTATTGCTTAATAACATATCAAAAGGCTCCAAAAATCCTAGCATGGCAACATGTTGAAAAGCTGGATTTTGTTGGAGCTGTTCACCGCTGCATCATTCACTGCATGGAAACGAGGCTGATCATAAGTCGTCCGAATGCCTACTAAAATACCGCAAAAATCATAACTATAATTCATTAGAAAGAACAAACTTAGTTATTTGCATCCTTATATTTAATAATAAAAGACTATAAATGCATCTGGAATGATTTTTATTGGGAGAGTGGGGCTGAAAATGGACAGTTTTGTACCGTAAAATATAAACGCGCAATGCTAAAATTTTACAATAATACAATAAGATCTATGCGAGAGAGGAAAAGTTTTTAAAGCCGTAGTTAAGCAAGAAATAAAGAAGGTTTTAACAAGCAAAGAAAATGAACCTCCTCTTTTAACTGAAATGCTTAATTTGGTGGTGCTGTATCATATAACCCGGTAATTTGGCCGCCAAAATTTACTGTACAGCGGAGAACTAATTTGCCGGCGTTTGTTTGATGAACACACATTTCAGTCCAGACACAACTCGCCGGTGTTTGTCTCGCCAGATGTCGTCTTCTTCGCTTTCTTTGTTCAGATGAGTAACTTATATTCTTCTAAATGGCTGACTTGATTTTATTGAAAAATGCTACCAAGCGTTTTCTCACTAGAATAAATATTGGTGCTGTTTTAGACACAAAATGAGCACACACGAAGAACACGCATTTCAGTCAGGAAGGACCTTGCCGGCATTTGTCTCTTCGAATTCTTCATAAAGATCTCAATTCCATTGCTTTCTTTATTCATGCAGGTGAGCAAACAGCAACAGTGGTGTTTGACGGCTATGGCAGTGAACCCTCAACCAAGAGTATGACCCACCAGAGGCGCTCAGCAGGAAAAGGGAGTGCAACCGTAACCCTCCAAGATGGGATGAAAGTGACGGCTAAGAGAGATGCATTCCTTGCCAACACAGAGAAAAAGAAGCGGTTCATTGCCATGTTACAGCGCTATTTATCAGAAAGTGGCTGTCGCACGTTGCAAGCTGAGGGTGATGCAGATGTTCTTATCGTCAAAACAGCTGTCGACTCTGCCGTAACGCATCCCACAGTGCTCGTAGGAGATGATACCGATCTGTTAGTGTTACTCTGCTATCACACGAAAGCAGATGGCAATGACTTGTACTTTCGGCCAGAACCAAAAGCCAACTCTAGCTTCAGAGAGATAAGAGTTTGGAACATTCTGAAAGTGAAGGCGGAGTTTGGCCAAGCAGTTTGTTGTTTCTGCATGCCATTCTTGGTTGTGATACGTCTCGCCCTTACGGTACTGGAAAACCCGCGTCCCTTAAAAAATTGTGAATCTGTCTACTTCCAAGATCAAGCGAAGGTAAACTTTTTTTTTTCTGTTTTTTTTTGCTGGTGACAAGAAATGAAGAAAACATAATGCTTAACATTCCTAAATCTGTTAGAAGGTCTGAATGCCGCGATCAAACACATTTTATAAAAGCTCACGCTAGAAGTAAATTTTGAATATTTTCCCTTTTTCTTTAGTCATGTCATGATAAAACGTGAATAAATACAAGAAGCAGAGTATTTTCTATCATATTTTAAGGATTTTATTTATGCTATAATAATACAAGGCCAGTAAAACTGCACTTCCTGTTCCAGCCTCGTTTCCATGTTATATGGAAAGAGCTCCTCAGTGTTTTGCTAAATTTCACCATGTTGTCGTGCACGAATTTTTTGGAACTTTTGATATGTTTAATAACTCGTCAGTTCTGAGAAATTTTCGAAGAGAAAGCTTTTGTGGGAATTTGTTCCGGGTCAGCCCCCAATATGACTGGACTATATTTATTTATTAAAAACTGAATCATTGGATAATGCAACTCTAGAGCTCTGATTGGCTCAGCCATCGTGGTATATGAGCCATTATACCATGCTCTCCAAATATAGAAACTGCCAGGCGTCTGCTCAAAATTAAAAACAAGCTGAAAATCGGTTGTTTTTACAAATACAGTTGGGAAGAATTCTCGATATTTTGTGGGCGTTTTTAATAAAACAATTATTCCACTCGTGCTTGTTGGATATGAGATGATCATAGCCAGCTTGGCGCTACGCACCTCGTTGGCTCATCCACCATCTCATATCCAACGCGCACTTGTGGAATGATCGTTAATTAGTATGTGGGTCTAATTTTTGACTCTGTGGATGAAATCCTGTTGTGTTACCATTTAAATGAAATTTCTTTTTAACAGTTCTTTCCCGTGGTACTATATATTTCGTGTGTAGTTCTAACTTTCAAGTCCGTGGATGAAATCCTATGGTGTGACTATTCAAATAAAACCTTTTCAGCAGTACTTTCACATGGTAATATTTATTATTTGGGCGTCGCTCAAATAGAGTAATCAAGATCGCTTGTTTTGATTCAAAGTTGCAATAGGCACGCAATACTTGCGAACGTAAACAACCCAGGTAAACAAGCCAAGCGACGCAACTAGGATGTCTGCCGCGCGATGTGTCACGACACAGCATTTATCCTCGTTAAATACGTCCCAAAGATAACGCACGGCAAACAAATCGGCAATAGAAATCAAACGTATTGAAAAAACAAGGTACACTGAGTGAAACAAACTATTAAATAATTTAAATTTTTCCCTTTGGAAAATGATTGTCCCCGCAGCACACGGCGTAAAGGTTTTTCCTCCGGACCATAGGTACCGGTCATTGCCCTTTTCACTATTCATTGGCAGTAGGGACATGTCCTCCCAGGGGACGATTTTTGCTCCAAAACATAAACTTATAAATCTTAAGCTTACGGTATGTTTTATCTTACCTAAAAGCCGGGCGATTTTTAAGAAATTTGAAGGTAAATCTGTCTGTCTGTCTGTGGAATGGGCAGGTTTGACTCATTGCCAAGAGTTTGACAATATTGTTGCCCTCAGTTGTCGAGAGCCAAAGATGTCACGCAAAATTCCTTGATTTTGCATGAGAAAATAAGGGTGGCATTGAACGATGCATAATTTCATTGCAGATTTTCGAAAAGGAGGTGATTTCTTAATATCTTGTAAAAAAAGTTGCATTCTTTCACGTTCGAACAGGCAGAGTCCACCATCTTCAAGTGCAAACTGCGTTCGTGACAGTATATTTTTAAAATCCTTGGGTTAACTAAATTAAGTCGTATTCTCTCATACACGAACCTCGAAAGCGACAAATTCCAAAGCTTTTACGTGCAAACTGCGTGACAATACAACTCACAGTAAGGGCCTGATCACATGAGCCGCGCTGGATTGCTCTACCGAGGTGACTTTTATCCCGGTGTTACATGAAAAGGGCCAGCCCGGAGCCACCATTTTTATATACAGATTGGACGCAATGCGCATGAGCAGTGTGTTACCCGCTGTACTGTTACCCGCCGGTTCATCCGCCGGACCGCCCGGCTAGCGTGATTACTTGGATTTCCACCCGGGATCCCGGCATCACAAAACTCTCAGCTAGCCAGGCTGGCTCGGTTGTCATAAAATCGCAAAGTTCATTTTTGGTGCGTTTAACTAGGGTGCCGAGATCTCTGCAAAGCGAGCCAGCCTGGCTCATTGAATCAGGCCCTTAATTCTATAGCCAGATTTTACGCCCTTCCCCTTGACCTCACCGATTTTTCAAAGCTTCCGAACACACACACAAAATAATAAGATCTTTCACAACCACCACCTCATTTCAACAGACTGTAATTACACTATCCCTTCATAACCAAATAAGCACTCCCACAACTACCTCACTGCAAACCCTAAAATCACTTTTACCTTCCAAAAAATATGTTTTCTTACTTCATTCTAAATTCTACGAGAAACCAGTTTCACTGATTAACAAATTACAGGTACTATCTTACCAGTCCACGTCCAATATAACTCCACGCCTTCCAATTCACACATTTCAACCAACCCCTAAAATATACAAAGCTACCGCACTACTCACACATCTCTAATACACATAAAAAACTTCACGCACTGGTAGTGCATTGACGCCCAAATATACGCTCCAACAGCGTCTTGTTTAGTATGTAGTTCTAACGTCTGAGTATATGAAATGAAATCCTATGGTGTAACCATTCAAATAAAACCTCTTTGGAGGACCTTTGGCATAGTCATTATTCATTTTTTATTTATATTTTACAAAAATTTTTTATTTATATTTTACAAAAATATTTTTTTGGAGGGAATAGGAGGGGAAAATTAAACTTATTAGTGTAAAGCGCATTACCGTTTGATGCTCGAACAGAACGGACGTGCCTTAAGCAGCTACGCAAGTTTCCAATAATTTGTTAACTTTGAAAGGTAGTTAACAAGATTATCAACGGAAATTTTGTTCTCAAACGATGAGCGACACTAAACAATTGAGGAAAGACCAAAAGCTGCTTGATTCAATGTTACTTAATGAAATTGATGATAACTGAAGGATTGGAGCCAACCAGATACGGCGAAATTTTTCAATAAATAATAATTATCGTTATTGACCACGGCTATGAGAGAGAGAGAGAGAGAGAGAGAGAGAGAGAGAGAGAGGTAGATTTAAGGGCATTTATGCAACGTGCAATGGGGCATCTATGCCACATTAGGGCATTTATGTCACGTTAGGTAGGGCACTTTCGTCACGTAGGGCATTTTGGTAACATTGAGTAGGGCATTTCGGTCACATTAGGGTATTTTTGTCACAGAGGTTAGGGCACTTCGGTCACCTTAGGGCACTTTGATCATATTAGGGCATTTTTGTCTCGGGGGTTAGGGCACTTTAGCCACATTTTCCGCCCCACCCCCTCCCTCCCCCTATAAACAATAAAAGCTGGTCTCTGTCCTGTTCTTAGACGTCGACAATATTTTGGACTCCTCGGATGCAATCTTCAATGGCGCCAGCAACAAAAACTACGTAGATAGCCTTCCGTAGGGGGTTTGGGGGGGGGG